GAAAGAGGCAGCCCCTTCCCAGGGCAGCAGCTGATGGGCCCCCTCGTCGGCCGCCAGGTGGACCAGCGGGTGCTCCAGGACCTCCTCTCCGAGAAGCTGCCCAGGCTGATGGCCCACCTGGGGCAGCTCCGTGTGGACCTCTCCTTCATCACCTTCAACTGGTTCCTTGTGGTCTTTGCCGACAGTCTCATCAGCAATATCCTCTTCCAGGTCTGGGACGCCTTCCTGTACGAAGGCACCAAGGTAGGGTGAGCAAGGGGCCCTGGGCAGGACCATCACCCCTGGGTCTCGATTCTGCCCCTGGAAAATGGGCGGACAGTGACCCTCTCAGGCTCAGGACATCCGCTGGGAGCCCGGCTTTGTAAATTATGTGCTTCGCACACATGAGAGGGAGCGGCTCTGCTTCCCAAGATGCTTCCTAAAGCTGGAGGTTCCTTTCCCCGAGAGGAAGCCTGAGCACGACCCAGGAGGCACATCCCTATTCTGTCCGTGGCCCTCCTCGCTCCCCTGGACCAAGCCCTGGATTGGGAGGTTGGCACTGGGTCTGGTCCCAGCTCTTGGGCGATCCTGGGCAGGCCCTCCCCCACCATCCGCCCATTTCCACACGGTGGTTGATGACATACGCACTGCACAGTTCACAGAACCCTGGGATTTGCCATTTCATCAGTTCCTGCTAGTGCCCCATGGAAAGACAGTGTTACCCCCATCGGGGTAGAGGCAGGACTCAGCCCCAATCCCCAAAGTCCAAGCTCCCCTTCCCCGTGGCCTCCCTGCACACTTCGCCTCCAAGCTCTCAACCTCTGCAGCCTATGCAGGGCCTCCCACCGTGGTGTCTGTGTTCTCCCTCTGGGGATAAACTGCCCTGGCCCCCCATGCCCTTCCTGAGCCCCCACCTGGCCCCAGGTGGTGTTCCGTTATGCCCTGGCCATTTTCAAGTACACCGAGGAGGAGATCCTGAGGTTACAGAACAGCCTGGAGATCTACCAGTACCTGCGCTTCTTCACCAAGACCATTTTCAACAGCCGGTGAGAACCCACCCCTGCTCTCTCCACTACTCCCACCACCACACCTGCTCATATGTCACCTCCTCCAGGAAGCCTTCCCTGACCACCCTATCCTCAGTGGGTCAGAGCCCCCATAGCCCCAAGCTTCCTCCTGCCTCAGTGCATATGACTTTGAGTCGAAACTGTCTTCTTCTTTACCATTTCCTCCCTGAAAGGTGAGCTCCCCAAGGGCAGGGGCCAGGGGCCCTAGCCATGAGGGCAGAGTGGATGCAGGCCTGTCTGGGGAGGCATGGTGAGTGTGGGTGCCCTGGGACACTGTGTCTCGGCTGACTGTGCTCTCCCCACAGGAAGCTGATGAGCATCGCCTTCAACGACATGAACCCCTTTCCTATGAAACAGCTGCAGCAGTTGCGGGCGGTCCACCGGGAGCGGCTGGAGGCGGAGCTGCGGGAGCTGGAGCAGTTCAAGGCCGAGTACTTGGAGACTCGGGCAGCCCAGGACCCGGTGGTGCCCGAAGGTTGCACCAGTGAGGACGAGGGTGACGGGGAGGCCTGACGGGGCCACCTGTGCTCCCGAAAGCCCTTCCATTCTTGACTGGCAGGCCCACAGGAGGGCGGCCTTGGAGCAGTGGTCCAGCCCCTGGAGCCCATCCCATGTGACTCTGGGCAAGGCCCTTCCGCTTCTGGGCTCCAGTCACCCCATCAGGACGCTGTGTGCTGGTTGGGTGCCCAGGGATGCTGCCCCTTCCTCACTTCCTCCTCAGAGCACTTTAGCACGCGGACAGGAGTGCTGTCTTTATAGGGAACTGTGAACATTCTCTAAGTTCTTCTGTATAAAACCATGTAAATACGAGAGATAGTTCACAAGCTTCAGAATTTACCCGATTCTCAGTAGCCACCTGTTCCTGGGTGAGCCCCACCTGTTCCTGGGTGAGCCCACCACACGGGCCTTCCCGGCCTAGGACGTCCCTGGCTGCTGGTCGGGTTCCGAGGAGCTGGGCCCTGTGCATTTAGGGCTTCTGTCTTCCTGGGCCAGAGCACCTCCCTGTGCTGGGACCCATTTTCTGAGCCTGGTATCTGTGCTCTCCTTTCTGTTCACAGCCCGAGGAGGGGTGGTCCCAAGGAAAACGCATGCCCACCACCAAGAGGACTGGGTGTGGTGTTGGGCAGAGAGCCCTGGGTCAGCTGTCCGACCCGATCTCCCACCAACAACTTCGTAGGCCGGGCAAGAAGAGTCACCCACTCTCTGAAAGAGGTGGTTGGAGGGTGAGGACGAGGCAGTGAGAGGGTCACTGCAGCTGCCCCAAGTCAGGGCTGTGGGGACTCAGCTCCAGTTCTGGGCTCTTCCAGCCCTTCCTCAGTCAGAGGCTCCACCGTCACCTCGAGGCAGGGCATCCAGGCCGGAGTGACTGCAAAACCTGTGACTGTTTCCGGGCAGCCTTGGCTCCTCAAGCTTCAGTGTGAAGGCCTGGGGTGCGGGGCTCTCACAGGGGAACCCAGCTCTGATCTGAGGCTCCTGTCCAGGGCTGGGGAAGGAGACCGTGCCCATCGCTGGGGACCGGGGACAGGCCCTCTGTCCCCCACAGGTGTGCACATGGGCTGGCACACCAGGCACCCAGTTCCCCCACGCTGTGCCCCACATGACCCTGGGGAGGGTGCGCATGGTTCTTTCCCACCACATTCATGAGGCTGCAGGCGGCGGAGGACACCAGGCCTGCGGATCCCCACACGGGCTGGACGGCCTTTCGCGTTTTCACTCTACTTTTCATATGCTGAGGCCCTTTTGTCACCAGACGGATCTGCGAAGTGTGAGGTTGGACTGGGGGGTCCTGGCTGTACCCCAACAAGCTGGGTGCTGTAACCCTAAGGGCCGTCACTGGGGAGACAAGATGACCCTGGTGCTGAGCTGGTGCCTGGCACAGAGTACAGTGCCACTGCGGGCAGGTGGTCTTTCCATGAAGAAACCCTCGCTCTGAGGGCTCAGGCCTGCGGAGGCCCAGCTCCAGGAGAGACTGCAGCCTTGAAAGTCAGATTCCCTCCTCAGTGAATGGTAAACCACCCAGAGCAGACAGGAGCTGCCAGATGAGTGGGCCCTCCTGTCTTCCCTCTTCACCCACTCCCCTTCCTCCCTCATCTTCCTTCAACTCGCCCATGCTCTCCCTTCCTCTTCTCCCCTCCCTCATTTTCCTTCTCTTCCTTCTCTCCACTTTTCTTCTCTGCTCCACCTTCTCTGCGGGGGGGCCCCCTCCCCCATTTCTTATTCCTGCCCCCAGAGGAGAGGCTCTGTCCCCTTGTGTAACCGGACCTGGTCCCTGGTCCCTACTAGCATCCTCTGAGCAGCTTTTCAAAATCACTGACGCTGGACCCGCTCAGAGCCTATTGTGGGGCACGGGCACTGTGCTACACTGAGGCTGGGGACCACAGAACAGTGAGGACTGACTGGTGGGGCCTCCTCCAGCCCTGAAGAGGGGAGCTAGAGCCAGGGCCAGGGCGAAGAGCTGCCTGGCATAGAGTACTGGCCCACTACAGGCCAGGCTCAGCTTACAGATGAGGAGACAGGCTCAGAGGTTAACTTGGCCTAATGGTTTAAGCCATGCTCAAGCCTGGAGGCCCTAAGGTAGAACCAGGGAGGGTTCCTCCCAGCTCCCCTCCCCCATGGACCCAAGGGAAAGCGCTGCCCTGGCCCTTGGCAGCCTCCGGAGTGGTGTGGGGCTTGTGGGGAGAGCCCCAGGCAAAGAAAAATGGAAGGAAAAGCCGTCTGCCTGACCGGCTGGCTGTGGCAGTCAGTCACACTCCTAAGATCTGAGGCTGCTGCTGCTGCTCCTAGAGAGACTGCCGCCCTCCTGCTCCTGGAGGACGTTTGGGGCCCACCCCTGGTGTCAGGTTCCTGGCCCTGCACCACAGCTGTCGCCCCCATCCCCAGGGGCTGCTGCCTTCCAGGGCTGGAGGATCTGATCCCTCAGCCCCCACCTTCCTACCCCAGGGGATGGGACCTCTTGTTTAAGCACCCCACTCCCGACTAATATTAGACCCCAGCAAGCTGAGGCCCACAGCCCATTCTACAGGGGAGGGGAGGAGTTACCCAGGGGCCTCCCTGGGCCCAAATCCTAAGAAGAAAGGGAGTGCTCAAAGGAAGAGGAAGGGCCTGGAGGGCACTTGGGGAGGCCCCCCCACCCCACACTCAGAACCTCACCTGCCGGAGCTCCTGCCCTATTTCTCAGCTCAGCCTCCCACTGCACAGGACCATATGGTACAGGAAGTCCCAGTTGGGCAGGTAGACAGAGGATTTGCCGCCCCCCCTTCCCACCCCAGCCCTCCTCACCACCACACACACACACACACACACACACAGTCCCTTACATGGCAGGTTAAACAAAGCAGGCCATGCTGACACCTAGGGAAGGAAGGTGCTGGTTTCCTGGCCGATCCCAAGCAGCAGTACAGCCCAGCAGGAAGTACTGGCAGATGGGCCCAGCTTTGGAGCCAGACCTGTTAGGTGGTTTTCCAGCTAGGGTTCCCCGGGCAAGTCACTTCCACTCTGTTTCCCCACGTGTGCAGTACAGAGGATGCCAGGGACTAGCTTTCCTTAAATGGACACAGTTAAGGGGAGGGAAGGAGCAGGGAAAAGGACCCCTCCACACATGGCATCTCCAAGAAGGGTCCCAGGGATGTCTATTGCAGAGGCCTCCAGTGGCCTCCCTTCTGCCCTTCGGTCCATATGCCCACGGCACCCACAGGTCCCTGTCAAACCAGCCTTTTCCCAGGCAGTCTCAGCCACCTACCTTCATGGCACAGTGTGGGATGGTGCAGATACAAGGCTGGGGGCGGGGGGGCAATCCATGGAGCAGCTGGGCGGCTTCCTGGGGAAGCATGTTGGTGCAAACCTGGAAGGAAGGATGAGTGGGTTTAGACCAGCCGTGGGCAAACTACGGCCTGCAGGCCAGATCCGGCCCATTTGAAATGATTAAAACGAAAAAAAAAAACCAGACTGTACCCTTTTATGTAATGATGTTTACTTTGAATTTATATTAGTTCACACAAACACTCCATCCATGCTTTTGTTCCGGCCCTCGGTCCAGTTTAAGAACCCATTGTGGCCCTCGAGTCAAAAAGTTTGCCCACCCCTGGTAGACAGTGGGAGCTGATGCGGTAAAGAATTCCTAGTGGAAGAGGAGGTGTGAGCAAAGGCACAGAGGAGTATGTAAGCGGGGGGCGGGGGGGATGTTCCAGAGATACTGCCTAAGCCCAGATGAGTTAAGACATTCAGGTGCCTTAGCCTTCAGAAGGTTATAATGCCCAGCCCCCAGGTGTCATTAAAAATAAAGGCAACATTGAACCGTAAGTATAAGGAACTCCCACAACATTCTGATTTTCCAAGTGCTTTTTGGAACATCAAACACTCAACGCTGTCGTGCTGGTACCAGAAGTGTGCATCCAGCAGGCCTACTGAGCAGGCCAGCTCAACAGTCCCGGGCCAGGGCCATGGCCGCAGAGCGAGGCTTTGTAGGCCAGACCGAGGGGCTGGGCTTTGGGTGGTAGGCAGAAAGCCCATGGGCTCTGGGCAGGGCCGTGGCCCAATGAACACTGACTCACAGGCTTTGGCCCTGGCTTTTCTAAGGAGATGATCAAGAGACCACAAATACTTAGCGACTCTAAGCCTCAATTTTCTTCTTATCTGTAAAGTGAGGGTAATCATAGCGGCCACATAAAGGAGTTATCAGGATTAAATGGAATATATGTAAGTTAGGACATGGTGTGCACTTTCAATCGCTCAACAAATGTTGAGTGCCTACTATGTTGCAGGCACTGTCTAGGGCCCTGGAGATACCACACTGAACAAAACAAAGAGCTTTTCTCAAGAGAGGCGGAGTGGCTATCAGCTCGGTCTTGGGAATCATCAGCTGTGTGTTCTTAAGTGAGGTATGTAACCTCCCTGGGCCTCGGCTTCCTTATATGTAAACTGAGTAATAGTGTAACCTCATGGGCTTGTGAGCTAATTAATGCACGTAAGGTGCGAAGGACAGTGGTAGGTGGTGGTATTCAAAGGCGGGGGCCTCCCCATCGCCTCTCCGCACCCCAAGCCTGCCAGGCTGCGCAGCAACGCCCCCTCCTGGCTGCCGGGAGAAGGAAGAATCCGTCCGACACCCCGCAGCGCTCCCAGCCCTTTGGCTCGGGGCCGGGTTTACCTAGCGCTTCTCCTGCGGCGGGCTCTGCGCGCGCACTTCACCGGACTGGTGAATTAGGTCGCTCATCTCATTCTCAGTGGCTCCCCGAGACAGACACGGCGGCTGTTCCCATTTCACCAAGGGGAAAACGGAGGCTCCGGGAGGTCGAGTCCCTTGTCCCGTCCCACGCAGCGAGCGGACCGGCGGGACGTCAAGCCAGGCGGG